CACACACATCCTCCCCAGCCTCCTGCCTTCCTGGAAGTGAGATCCACCCTGGCAACCAGCTACTGCTGGGAGAAGCCGCCCCCAGGGCCGCTGAGCTCCCAGATACGCAGCACAGGAGGAGTCRTGGCCGCGTCCAAGATCTGAGCCTGGACCCCCACATCCTTACGAGCTATCATGTTTGTTTTAATTCTTCCCTCCTGCACTTCACCTTGACCACAGAAAGAGGCCCTGTCTGCCACCCCCAAATGGCTGGGAGCCTCCCCGTGGACTGTCAAAGCTGCAGAGACCCTTCAAGATYATCTTTCTCTTCCTACAATGACCACACTGAGTTCCAGAGAGCTGTGACCTGCCCACGGCCACCCAGCGACTTGGTGGGTGGGAGTTTGGTGATCTCCCCAGACCCGGGTGGCACCAGGCGCCCAGAGCCCACGCTGGGGCTCCTGCGTCTTCCTTCCCAGACTYGGCCACCCTCGGTCTCCTTGACCTCCTTGGCCCAAACCGGCTGGCCACTGGGCCTCTGCTCCTGAGTCAGAGGAGGCCAAACTCCGAGGGCAGTGCGGCCCGCAGGGAGCAGGCATCAGGAAATCTCACTGTGGCCGAGGAAGTCCCCAGAACACCTCCGGGCACTCAGCCTCTCCCCTGTCCTGCTCCTCCCAGATCTGAGTGGACGAAGCACCTTCGTGTCTGTCCCTTCTCAGGGAAGGGACGGAAAGAACTCCACAGCAGGGGAACCCAGCCGTCCCCCACCCCAGCATCAATAAGGGGGCTTCCCAAGAGGGTGGCGGAAGCTGTCCTGTCGGCCTTCACCACCTGTCCTGYGCCAGGCCCCGGACAGAACGCTCTGCAGGATCACCTCAACCTAGCCTTCAGTCCTGCGAGGCTGGTCACCACTGTGCCCMTCTACAGATGAGGAAGCTGAGGCTCAGGGTGCTGAAGTCCTTGTCCGTGGTCACTCAGCCAATAAATGACAAAGCCAGGAATCTCTTCCGGGGGCACCTGACCCAGAACACTACTTCCTGCTGCTCCAACGTGCTTTCCC